CTTGTAAATTTTAGCATAAGAAATGGACTGAGTATTTGTTCGGATACTTTGTCTTAGCAGTTAGCAGTTTTTAAAATGTTTAAATCAAAAGTGACAGTTTAAATGAAAACAGCTTTTCAAACTGAAACGTTTTCACTGTCACACAGGCAAAAGACAGCTTGAGCTATGCCTCTATCCAGCATGACTTCTATTCTSTCTTTTTGTTTGGAGCTGCTCAGAGTTGCTAGTTGTAAGACCATTGCACTCTAAAATTCCTTACTGCATTTACTTTGAAAGTTCTCTGACAACGTGTTTAATTTTGAAATCAAAACTTAAATTGGCATTTCAATTTTGATCTCAAGATAAGTTTAGTGCAATACTTGAAGGAGTACTGCATCAGTTCTGAAAAGGTATTTTACTTTGATAGACTGCAMAACAGCATGTGTAAGTTTCTGTAGATTGTATTTTAGAATTTCTGCATTTTAATAATTTTGTTTTTGCTGAGTTAATGCATGCAACTGTAAATTTCTCTGTCATWTCTTGACTTGCTGTTTCGTTTCTGTGATTTCCTGTGTGCTGGAGCACCAGGAGGCAGGGCTAGTCCTAGTCATAAAAAAGACTTGGTTCCCCCTTCTGGGAAAACTGCCAGATATATACTACTTCAAAAGCTGAAATATATTCTAAGAACTTTGATCAACAGTCTTAAAACATTAGGCTAATTCTTCCTTCATTTTCAGTGTGTGAGAAACCAAAAAGGTCAAATGTGACTTGAAATGCATGTCAATTAAGAGAGATGTGGAATGCCTGGGTACTTCAAGAAAGTCATAAAGTCCAACCATGAAATTTTTATAACAGTGCTTCCATTAAGAATACAGAGGCATTTTAGCATGTGTACTCCTTAATAGCATTTCAAAAATCAGTATGTGTAACTATACTCTCACATCAAAATTCCCAATCTGACAGCTTTTTTTCACTGTCTGAAGAAGACATTATGCTGTCCATGAACAGATGATGGTTTCTACCAGGAGAGAAGCTTTTTAATTTTTATTTAATGCTTTAATAATTTTCTAAGAATACACTTGTTTTTTGGTAGGAAATAGTGTTAAAAAGTTGTGCCTTGCCCAAATGGCTTTATCCTGACAGGGTTCCAATTGTTTTAAAGTGTCCAGTGTAGGTTGTTGGTTTTCCAGTGAGCGTTGTTACCTACTGCATGTCAGGAGGGGCTGTGTTCTGTGATCTGTRAAGTCACTTTCCTTGTGGAGGCTGGGTGTATGTAGCAGACTTCTGTCTGAATGCAAAGTGAGACTTGGTTAACCTGGAAGGGAAATAAATCCCTAAACATACAGTGACATATTACCTGGGACTCAGAAGGCTCCTGCCAACACAGAATCTTTGGCACAGCCATTCCAGCTTGCACAGTTGACATCTAAAGCTGTTCCTTTTGGACAGAAGACCATTTTGTTACTGTGCTTCTGTGCTTTCCTGCAATTCCGTAGAAATACTTTTGGTAAATAAAGTCACAATACTTAATTTCACTATAAAATTTGTTTTCATAGATGTCTTTTGTTGAGAAGTAATTGCTTTTCAGAGGAGTTGAAGAATGGGTCTGCTCTGTGATGGTGCTTCTTCCTTCTGAGTTCAGTTACGTTTGATTTTATTCAGATTAAAATACTCTTTTTCTGATGCCTTTTAAATGGAAGCTCAGCATGGACAAAACAGGAGAAATGCTTCTTTCAGTTATGAGAGAGAGGCTTTAATTTCTCTATTTTAGACCTGTGCATGGATTTCTAATTCTGCATTAAGACAGTGCCTCTAAATGCTCTACATTGTGTTAAACAACATAACTGAGATCTGAACTTACACTTCTCTACTATCTGCCTGTTCTCATTTCATGTCTTCTCTATTACATGCCTTCCTCTCCAATCTTGCAAGGCACATCTATTCCACCCCCTCCCWATTTCATTTTCCTGGCTGCCTTAGGTGTATACCTATTTCCTTCATGTGTATTTGGTAGCAATGTCCCATGTGTGTCTCTTTTGTCAAGGATTTATGTGGCTCAGAATCCTTCAGTTATCCTTTCTTGGAGCTGCAGGATCTCAGGCCATTATTTGTTCCAAAAGGATTGCCAGTTTTGAGTTCTTATGAAGCTTTCCAACAAGAATGTTTATTTTTCGCTAATAAAATGTTATTTGGCTGAAATATATACAATATTGATAAATGTTATATTAATGTGTACAGAATGTATGTTTGTAGAATAACATGTGAGCAGAAGCAAGTGGCAGTAAGATGCTGTGGGAGAAAGGACAAGCATATGGTGACAGAAACCACTCTTCCTGAATTTGTMGTTGCTGCTGAGTCCAGATGACAGGAAGAAGTAATATTCTTGATTTGGTTTTTATTTGGGTGTGCAGTACAGTGAGAACTGTTTTTAAATAATAATTTAACCAGCACAATTCATAAAATGGTGTATTGGGTATTCTTGTTGTACCCTTTGTGCTTCATCCTCCCATGTTTGATTTGCCTTCGTGTAATTAGGAAAATAATAATTGGATTCTCTCTTTAACAGCATGAAACTGTTTCTGAGATGCTGTTAAAATATTTCCTAAATAAAATTTTGACTTATTAACTTTTATTAATGTCTAAACTATATTTTGAGTTAAAGAAACATCAGAAAAGATCAGCCACAAGTAAACCATGACCATAGCAGTCTAAATTGAAAAACTTCTAGGTAAGTTTCTTAGCACATGCTAAGTCTCAGGTCCAAACTGTCGTGCAGAGGATGCCTGAGAAAGCAGCAAGTGCCTCTGTGCTYCTGCAGCTCTGGGTAACCTCTGCAACAGAGCACCTGGGCCACAGTGCAGTGTTCTGGGCAAGGGCCACTCCAGGTGTCCCTCCCAAGGGCAAAGGAAACAATTACTGGGTACTGGAATAAATACTCATGAATTATCCTTAAATAGCAAGAGTTTGTAAATATCTAAGTCAGTGACTGTAGGGCTACATGAATTGACTTTATGAGCTGTTTTTTAAGCAAACCGTAGTTACTCAAAATTTGAAATGCTRTGTAAAGCAGCATATTTCAACAAAATTTCAGATTAATTGCATTTCTGCCTTAAATTGTTCCACCTTTCTTTTCCTTTCATTCCAAAATTGGAGGCCCCATGTTAGAGATTCAGACAAAGAATCCTTTTATCTAGGACATACATTCATTATTCATTGTGCATTGTCAGTGGATTGCTACTTCAGGCCTGAATTACAGTTAATTAATCTTAGAAAASCACTTGTAATTTCACACTTTATGAAGCACTATTGTCTGAGCACAGCAGTGCTGTGGTGGTAAAATACTCCAATGCTTGTCGCTGTTCAGTATTTTATCTCTCAATATTTGTGTGCATTCAGGTCTTGATTTTGCRTACTTCTCTGAAGGTTTGTTACAGCAGAGATGCTTGTGTTTTGGTTTGAAAATGATTTTTGATATATTTATTGCATACAGAATTTCAAACAGAACAGAAATAGGTTTAATTGTTATTTAAATGATAAGATTAGGAAGACCTAATCCTTTTTAATACTGAAAAGGAAAACCTGGAAAAGTGAGGGACTAGAGCAAGTGGGATTAGGTAGGTTCCCAGCTTGGCACTTCAGATGATGAGTTTGGTTGGTAGCTGGTAATTSATCTGATACAGTCTGCACTTAGAAGCTAGGACTTGATGTTTTCCATTAGGTGGTTCCATATTTCAAAATATTTTTTCTATGCCCACAGCTTTCTGGGAGCATGTATATAAGAACTTCATTCTGGAAGTTGAATTCATGTATKGCAACTCCTTTGTTTAGGTTACACATCTGCATAGGAACAGTTCCTGCTCTGCAGCTTACAATAGCTTAGAAAGTATTCTAAAAATACCAGTATCTCTTGACAGTACTTAAAACTGACATTTCTGGAATGCTGAAAGAAAAAAACTATAATCTATGCTCACATKAAGGTACTAGAGAAGGGATTGAATGCAGAATTACCAGAGATCCSTTAGTTGCAAAGTGCACAGAAATGTGATAACTAGCAATGTAAATTTGTCCTTTTACTGTTTCTATGTACACAGTGAATTGCAGGATGAGATGGAAAACTGAGAGCTAAAAAGGTTTACTTCACTTAGTGTGCTTGCTAATTGGGAAAAAAAAAAACCCTGCTAAGGGCTTTTAAAATGCTCCTTTAAGTCTCTTCAGCTGTATTTGCCTAATTGTTTTAAGGAATTTCACAGTAATTGCTAAGGTAAAATGCTTATCACAATAAGACTTTCTGATTACACTCTTCATGAAAACTGCCACATCATGAAAATATTTACAGCATTGTTTGCTGCTTCTTAGTTTATTTTTTTATGCAATTGTAATTAATTTTTAGAAATGTTGATCTTATTATAGTCCTTGATAATAGAAATTGGGGGAAAACAATTCAAAGTTTAAAGAAGAATATATTACACTGTACAGTTTGTGCTGAGTGGARTTGGTGCTGACTAGAGAAGTGTACCGCCCAACTGAATTACCCTGTGATCCTGACCTTATAAGTGGAGTCAAGAATTAGAATTATTGTTAGTCTGATGAATACCCTAGCATTCTAATCTAAATACAGGAGTTTTTATTGTTAACCAGTTACAGTGATGGTAAGACCTGTGGTCTAACTGTGGTTTGTTTCCAATAATCAATATATGGAGCTTCATCAGTGACCTGAGCCTTGCTGGGAGAAGGATGCTGATAGTGTCTTTATGTGAGATTTTGCTGGGTATTTTCAAGCAGTCAGTTGCTAATGCTTTGTGTTGATCCAAAAGCTTATTGTGCAAGCTTATCCAAAAATCCAAAGTTTTTTTTAGATTTTGTTGTATCTGCYTTTATTTGCTTAAGGCCATGCAGTTGCACAGAGCCAAGCTGAATCTAAAAGCGGGTTAGACACAAATGATTTGACTGCAATGACTTTGTTAGAGTTAAGTCACTCAGCTGCAGGGCGTGTGCTGCCACAGCTAAAACCAGGCTCAAAAAACRAGTGCAGTCCCAGGGAAGGCTGGACCAAAGGTTGGCAGTCCTTAGGCAATGTGTGTTGGGGCTGAGACGGGGCCTGTGGCCTGCTGATGGCAATGGTGGTACCGTCTGTACAGGGCTAAAAGTCGTGTGCGTGTGAGAGAGCTCTGTGTGCTGCACTCTTGCTGGAGCATGAGCTGACCTTTCAGCTGGGCTTGCTGAGTCACAGAAGCTGAAGGTGGAATTAGTCTGCCTGCAAAGCTACAAACTGTTCCAGTCGTGATRGAAGTGCAGACATCCCTTCCCAGTGTTGTGCTAATGGCCAGTCTGCAGCAAACCGCAGGCAAAAGGGCAGCTCATCCTGCTAAACAAACCTTCAGTGCTGCCCGGTGCTGTGGGCAGTTCTGACGTGCACTTGAGAGGATGTTCTGAAAGTCTTTCATTGCAACTTCCATTTCTCAGCGTGAGACGTTCTTCAGTGTTGAGTCATCTGCTGGTGAGGAAGGACGGAGGTTTTTCCTTGTGTTAACAGTAACCTCCTTGTGTGAGCTGACATGGCTTATTGCACTGGGATTCTCTGGTCTGAACTGCAGCAGTTTGGCAAAATAGAAAGACAATCTATTCAGAGTGAAAATCTCTGAAAGCTTTTTGCATCTGGTGTCATTCAGAGGTTCTTCAGAGGCCATGGGTTGAATGGTATTTTTGCTTTTTTTTAATATTTTTTTTTTTAACAAATCTTATTCTTGCAGGAAGTTAATGTTTATGAAACTGAAATTCTGGATTTCTGGGAAATGCTATTTATAGACTTTTGAGGTTAGATCTGGATCAAAATGTGAGAACCACAAGAATGTTAAACAGTAATCGTCAGATTGTCTGTATTGGTAGTTGTAAGGATCAAATCAGACTTATTTTTCTTGCCTAGCTATGTTTAATTTAGGTAATTTTTGAAATACTCAGTTTAGCTGAAGCTGTGACAAATTTGCCATGCTGCTTATAAAGTGCAGCAAAAGTATAGGGAGTTACGCTTATAAAACTTAAGTGTGTCCTTTAAGGAGAGCAGCTGCTTGGTCTAGTCTGTTCCATGCTGTTTAATAACAAATTAGAAGTACTGAGAATACCATCCAGAATACAGAAACAAAATTTTGTCCTTCTTTCCTATGCCTTGATTTTAGATTTCTAGACAGTCSTGAGTCTAGGCTTTCATTTTTCATGTTTTGTTACTGCTTTGTGAGAGGTACAGATTTATGTCCCTAGCAGAGGCGTAGCTTGTAAAAAAATTTTCTTGGAAAACCTGTTTTGTTCCTGGAAYAGGTAAATTAGCATGCCTCTTGGCATATTGCAACAGCCATTAACAGGTGCAAACTGCCCTGTTTTGTCACACAGTGGAGCTCTTTTGGTTTGAATCATGAAACTCTACTTTTGGTAATTTTTCCAAGTCTTACAAGTAGATAGTTTGTGTACAGTTTTCAGTCTGAAGTTCTGTCCCCAGTTTTGGTTAGGTTTTCTAGTGTGTTTGGAGTTGAATCTCTGTATCATTTATAAGGAATGCTCTTATCTCACTGTTGTCTAGAACTTGGCAAAAATGTGAAGCCTCAAGATGCTCCCCCATACCTGTTCCCTTTTTTTCCTCACTCTCTGATACACTTTTGCTGATTGTTTTTGGGAGGGGCTGTATAATTTTTTCCTGGTCTCTTAGGTTGTAAGGAAAAATATTTGATTTCATGCCTTCTCAGTATTTCCTCAGTTAATGTGCTACCTGTAATATTTAGGATTTTTAAAAATGTTCCCTAGAAAATGATTACACTCGCACATGACTGTACCAAACACTAGGACCTGTTGTCAAAATTATTAAAGAGCAATGCATTTGCATTCAAAGTTTAGATCTATAACAGATACAGGCTGTTTCATCTCCATCACTAGGATTCCAGCTTTAACTCATAAGGTCTTTTCTGTTTTTCATCAGTGTTACTTACCTTTTAATACTTGTACCTGTAATTTCACATGTAGTACTCTTTTCTTCTACTGCGTCTGAAATTACTTTATTTCTTAGTGTTAGCATTCCTTTTTTGTGAGTTAACCTGCTGTGTTTCTGTTAAGTCCYCCACAGTCTCCTGCTTGAGTAACTGCTTTTAACTCAGTCTGTTTATTTCCCATCATCCTGGCATTAATATACAAGAGTTGTGTGGTGGCTTATTCCCTTTCTTCCTTGTTCAGTAGTTTTGTTTTCTTCTTTCTTCTCCTTTTCTTCTTACTGTATGTAAGTCTGACATTTCAGCTCTCCACTCAAAAGTTGTCTTTTTTTCCTTTTTCTTATCTCTTAATTCTTCTGGATAGTTCAAATATAGTAGACCACTAAGAAGTTAGTGATTTTTTTTTTGTTAAACTTGTTGGTTAAATTCAGAAAACAATGGCAAATGAGAGAGGGGGGATTACTTGAGGAAGTAGCATCTTGGTCATTTTGTAGGGAAATAGTGTATGGAGGTGCACGTTTGAGAAAGTGAAGTGAAAACCCGAAGGTGGTAAAAACGGGAGTCAAAATAGATGGTACATTAAATATAGGTGTGTAGACTTTGGACAAGGACTCTAATGGCAGGAGTAAGTTCTTCAAACAAAAATTGATATTAGTGGAGAGTAGCATGGCTAACTGGAGAAGGTTAGAATGAGATACATTGCAAAGTAATTTGGAGTAGGTGTGAGGTGTGAAAAAAATGAAGAGCAGAGACATCTAACTGTAAAAGGCTGTAAAAGTCAAGGTGACAGATGGGGGCTTAGAAAAAAATGCTCTAATAAACAAATAGCATAACCCAAGTCACTTTGCTGGCTGAAGGGAAGGAACTGGGAGAGAAGGAGTTGGAGATGACAATGAAGTYTTGATTCTGAGAGAAAAATAATATGCATTATTTAAAATTGAAATGGAAGACTGTTGCAAGACTAAGGGGAAAGAAATGTATGCTCAGTACTGAAGAATCAGTTAATGAAATGATGTGACAGGAATGAGATAGGAGCCTGAGGTCTGAACAGGTAGAAGAAAGGTGCTGAATTAGTGCTGTGTGTTGGAACAGATATACAGAGGTGGCAATTAAGTCGTTGGCAACCTTGTACTTAAAATGGACTTGTTTCCTATGAGGGGGCTAAAAGAATGGCTACAGCACTAAATCAGTGCATCAGAGCATTAGAAATATTTCTTACTGTAATATTGCATCTGGCCATGAAATGCGTAATTCACATTGCTTTATGGATGCTATGAAATGATGATCATGATCACTCAATTTACTGTATTTTTATCTCTTRAACATAGATATTTGATTTAATGGATGCCAAAGCCCGTGCTGACTGCATCAAAGAAATAGATCTTCTTAAGGTAAAAGATTTGTTTAAAATATATTATGTTTTTCTTTGACATACTTGAGGTGTCCATTGTTTTTTTTGTATAGAGTTTTTTAAAGCCTCACTTTGAAAAAATTTTATGCTCTTGCTTTAAAAATTAACATTGAAAAGTAAATCCAGTGGAATAATGAATAACACTTCAAGTAGAAGTTTTTGCCAAAACTACAATATTGTGAATGACTGTGTCCTTTGTACAGTAAAATCTTGACTTCAAAAGTCGATTTTCCTATTTACTTCAAAAATTGACTTAGCTGTTTCAGGTAAGTTTGGCATGCTATTGGATATATACATYGAAGCAAAATTGCTCTACAATTGCAATGTCAGTCACCATGTTCAGCCTAAAATGCCATCCTATTCTTACAAACTATTTGTAAATGCTTCTCATAAGCCTATACTTTCTGTAGCAGTACTTTTTGTATCATAGTTAAATAGATTTTAGGGGTTGTTTCGTTTGCCTAAATAAGAATATTACCTATGTCAGTCTTAAAAGATGTGTTGTGTTCTACACTAAAATGTGAATTACTATTTTGCTTCCTTAGCAACTGAATCATCCAAATGTGATCAAATATTATGCCTCATTCATTGAAGACAATGAACTGAATATAGTGTTGGAATTAGCAGATGCTGGAGATCTCTCTAGAATGATAAAGGTAGGGATTAACTTTTTTTTTTTTTTTTTTTAAATAAGAGCTTATAAGGTTCAACTTTGGCTTTTCATTGTGTGTGATCATCACTAGGTGAAATGCAGTGAAAATGTCAGGAACTGTAGAGAGAAGGTGTGTTTAGACTGATCTGTTTTTTTTCATTATGCCCAATATTGATGCTTATGTATTTTTAACACCATTGCCCAAAATGTAAATGCAGATGGGGACGTAAGTAGACTGAAGTTCTGTTAGCACTGAGGAGAAGGGAAAAAAGCCTGTAAAGAAAAGCACTGCCACTACCACCACCATTGAGAACAACCTTATTTTAATGATATTCTGGATTTTTTGCCACACTTGTTTTATATTCCAGTATTTTATTCCATTTAATAGCAGGGGAAGCAGAGAAMTGGTGTCATACAGCAGAAATGTCTTCTAGATCTTGAACTGCTAAAAATATGTTTCATAATTCTTTGAAATCACATAATCACATGAAGTGAGTTTACTGATATGTTGTTGTGCATTAGGTTGTTGTGCATTATGGGTTAATTGCCTTTTTTTTTTTTAGTTTTTAAATGCCTATTTAGCTAATCATAAAAATTTCTCCAAGACCCATTGTATAAAATTGTGTATTCTGAAGCTTATATTAACTTCTAATTGCTTTTTAAAGTGTTTCTTTGTCATTTGACAACTACTTCCCCTCKCTCCCTTCCCTTTTTCCACCGGGCCTTGGGTTTAGTAAGTTCTTTTAGCATTTTTCCTTGTGTGCACACCAGCAATATTGCTGTCAACACAGCACAACACCACTGTGGGCACAAACAATGCCATTCAATTAGTGTTCACTCAGCAACAGCCGGGCACAGAACACAGTTAGGCTGTTTTGCTTGGGACCTACATGAATAGAGAATGTTAATTTCTTCATTAATGACTTTCATGCTGGTGGTTTTTTTTTTTGGGCTTTTGAAGAATATTCCTTTCTAAATTGATAATTGTGAGGTAGGACAGTCAAAATKTAGTTCTAAGCAGGTTGACAGCGTCTGTTAATATTTATAGCCAAATGTGATATTTTTCTTCATCTCATGAATTATTAATTCTGTGGGCTTACATTTCATAAAACATAAAGGAAGGTTTGTCTTTTCTTTTGAATGTTCAGTTTTGACACAACAGTTACTAATATGAGTACTCTGTGACAGATTGCCTTATGGCATGTCTGGTCTTATGACCCACTGAAGCTTTTTCTTTTTTCCCTTGCTTTTTTTTATTATTTAATTTTAAATCCAATGTGTGGCTTTTCCAGTGCAGTTGGCCTCATTACACCTTGTTCAAGTCGGTGGGTATTTCTTACAGGCTCAATCTTGGAGGCACTTTGTGATTGTCCTCTTAACACGGGGATCATGTTTAATGTAGCAAACTTAGATTGCTGTTTGATGTTAATGACAGCCTATCAGGCTATTATTAAATATGTATGAGGTGTCACAATGCACTGTGTCTTCATGCTGCTGGTGGAGGAAATGATTTGGTAGATTACTTTGACAATACAAGTTTAAGTGTGGGGCTCACCAGGCTTAAAAATGTGTTTTAAAAATTGCCTGCAAAATAAATGGTATGTAAGAGTGCTGAAACTTTCTGGAAGAATGGCTGCCTGTCACACTATTAAGGTAAATAACTATGTTGTGTTATCAAGACAAATAAACCATGCTTTGGTTTCCAGTGTTCTTGCTAGAATGTTGTTGGAAGTTGTTGGAGAATGTTGAGACACCCCAGAACAGTGTTTGGGTACTAGGCTTCTTGTGTGATATGTAGAGGGGATCAAGAATGTTTTTGAAATTGTAAATGACCACAGCTTGAATGACACTAAAACCAACGTTAATGTGAGGGAAAACTACTTAACTAGTTTACTTGGGTATTTGTTATGACAKTATTGGCACATCAGAGAATACTTACAAGGCTGCTGTGCCTCACAGTGCACCTTAATGAATTCTTTAGTTCTTCGCTTAATGAACCATATCCTTGCTGCCCAGCTTTTATATGGTCCCTCTTGTTACCTGCRGATAATACTCTCTTTGTCCCCATTGAGTAGACAGCGGAGGAGAATCACTTGGTGCATTCATATGTATTCTAATCGAATTCATAGAATCTGCTGTATGTCCAAAAAAAAGCAGYTGTGCATTGGCATTTACATATCACATAATGAAATCAGAGGTATCTCATGTGTTCTCTCTGCCGCTGTGTTTATGTATGTACATACACAGATTTAATCCACTTTACCTTAATTATTTTTTAATTATCTCTGTCACAGGGAGATGTTTCAATATAGCCTCCATTCTCAAAAGCAGGAGAGTTCAACACTGAGCATTTCTTACCATACAGCTTCCTGTTAGAATTCTTGAACGTAGCATATTGGCATATCAGTAAAACTGAGAGGGACACATCAGTGAAAGGGAAATATTTGTGTTTGACTCACAGTTGGTTTTGCACTACAATATGTATCTCAGCACTGTGTAAACCCTGTAGGGGCCTGGAGAAACAAGGAAAAATTGGTGATTTTGCCGTGTCAGTGAATTAGGTTGCTAGATCCTATACCTCAAAGATATTACAAGTAAATCATTATTAACTATTGTGCCAAATCCCAGTTGCTCATGGTCTGTTTGTGGTGTYGCCTGTGGAACATGTGATAGGATGTGGCTGCCAAGGTTCAGGGTAGTTCATGAGAACTGGTGTTACCTCATAATAGCACCTTTCCTGCAATACAATAATATGTTGTAAAGCAAGTTTGAGGCTTGGTCCCTTTTTTTATTAGTCATGACTCTCTTCTACCACAACGAGTGACAATTTTCTGTGGATTTTTTGATTTCTTTTTTTCAAGCAGTAGTTGATATATTGGATAAAGGAATTGCCACAAATAAAGAAGACTTTACGATTTGCACTAAGAAAATGCATTATAATAATTCAGTAAAAAGAGCTAGATAGTAAAGTCTGTCCTAAAGGATGTYGAAACAAGAGAATTTGAATTATCTTGCAGAACAATTAGCATATTATTTAAAGTTAAATATAAAACTACTAGGCTTGCAAGAAGGAATGTTATCAAGGCACTAAAATTTTGGTGTTTTTTTAAACTCAGCAATAAACTTTTAAGTCTATTTCCTTTCTGCAGCTATTTTTAGTTTTTAGGTTCTTCTGTTATAATCTTAGTGCACAAAAAAATGCAAACTTTAAACTGAATATGTCATACAGATCTTAAGGAAGTAAATCATGTTTTGGAAACAAGCATGAAAGSTTTCATCTAAAAAGTTGAAAATATGTGTGCAGCTTTCTCAAGATAGATGGAAAATAAATGGAATTCTACAAAATGTCACTTAGGCACTTCACCCACTCCTCAGGCAGCATTTTCCATGTGTATTTTTTCAACTTTAAATAAAGATAAGTGTACTATARTTAGCTAGGTAAAATATTATAAAACTTTTCATCAGTATGAAGTTCCTATTGATATTTCAAGTTTCTGTAGCTAGGAACAGGGAATTCTTTATCTTTGAACTTATTTTTACAGGGTAGTTCATAAGCAGGAATTATCACTTCTTTCCAAGCAACTGATGCATATCTRAATTGTTCCTTGAAGGAGCTGGAGCTCTGTTCAGACTTGTTTGATTTTGCAGAAAATAGGATTTTCTGATAAGTCTTGATAGTACATGGTAGCTATAGTTTGACTGTTTAATTGCAATAGCAGTAATTTTMTTTCGCTGTGATATTTGTAAGATTTTTGGGAGTATGAAGTTAAGGAAACATCTGTGTAGGGAAGAGRGCAGTGTCAGAATTTAGCAGGTCAGGTGTTAAATTTTGCATTATCTTTCCAGGGCAGGACACTCWGGATTTTGGGAAACCCTCAGCTATTAACTGACTGTATTGTTTGGCTGTGTCTTTATTATCCACAACATTGACATAAAACTTACGCAGTTGTGGGAGATAGTTGTTGTTCCTGTTTGAAAAGCTGGTGGGAAAAATAATGCTTCCTGTGTGTTTTGAATGGCAGTGTTGCAGCTGTTTTTTGCCATGCACACACATGTACAGCAGGACTGTTTGCTGCTAGGATTGCCAAGTATTTAGTTGTGTGAGAATGTTTTCAGTTTGTCAAAATATAGCAATTTCCTGCTAAAATGTTGCATGTCAACATTTCATTATAATATCTTGCAACCGTTGAATCTGAAATATTGTAAGCCCCTTGTGCCTTGAAACAAATATAAAACTCAGGTGATTTTTCCCACAATAATGGCCTTGAAAATTCACCTAAATTTCAATTCTTCTAACATATGTCCTTAACAGAAGTTGCTAGAGCACAGTTCCAAGAGTGGAGAATTTCTGTGCATGWAGAGCTGTGTGAACCTCCTTCATCTCTTGATGCTGACACAACCTGAGTGACTGTGAGTGCTTCGACCTGGAGCAGGAACGGGTGACTGAAACAGTATTGCCAGAAATAGCTTTTCCCAGATGCTTTGGATGAGCTGAAGCTTTCCTGTGTCTTGAAGGTGTTTACTCCCTCAGCCAAGTTGTTACAAAGAATAATCTGAGATGAACATGGAGAAGACAAAAGCAAAGGCAGACTGAGGAGTAGGGTGAGACAAGTAGCTGAGTGATCCTAGCTGGGAGAAAGGAAGACAAGTACWCTTGTACCAGCTGGTTGATAGTGTTTGGGAGAAGGTAGACAGGGAATTTATGCTGGTGGGAGTAGAGACTGAGGGTGTAAGAGAAAAGGAGTAGTTTATTGGGAAACGATGAAATGGGATTTCCAGTAGTGGACATGGGCACAGGGAGGTTGGAGAAGAGCTGATGTGTTGTTAGAGAACAGGACAAACAGACTGGGCAAGGATCCTTAAGACAAACTGGTTGTCATCAGGGAGAAAGCSTGGATGGGATAAGTCAGACTGGCTGGGAACAGGATGGGATGTGACTCAGTGTTAGKGCTGCAGCTACTCTGTGTAGAAAGGGTTGCGAATGTGCTGCCTTCTTTGCTCCAA